TGATATTTATTTAATTTTACATTTTAATTTTACAATTTTACATACAATAATTTATTTTAAGTCTAAAATATTAAAAATTTTTTATTAATAATATATTTGATATCTTATTCATTTTTTACGAATTTTTCTTTAGTATATATTGTTGTATGTATTGTTTTTTATGTATTTTTATTTATTATTATTTATTTATTTATATTTAATTATTTATATTCATGCAACTATATAATATTAATTTAATTTGATAAATTTAAATTTTCAATGTGTCTGAATATTCTTGTAAAAATAACAATGCATTTCTCTTCGATTTTTCCAATAATAGAAAATTGAATAGAAAAATTTATTTGAGCTTAAGTAAAAAAAAGATTAAAGAAAAATAAAATCATTTAAATCTTATTATTATGATTGTAAAATTTTAGAAATCATCAAATATTATATATAATCTCCTAATATTATATAATCTCTCAAAAAACTATAAGAAAAAAAAATAAATTTGATTTGTTTATAATAAAAGTTCTTATCGATAGAGATTATTAAATGTAAAAATATAGATTAAAATTTTATTATTTAAATCTTTGTTTTAAAAAATTAAACATATACAAAAAATTGTATAATTAATAATTATTAAAATTTGCATTTTCGAAAATTAATTTTTAAACGAAATAAAATTCTGTACTTTTGCTTATTTTTGTCAAATAACTTCTTATTGATAACTCATTCAATATCAATATTCAATTGAGAATTAACCAATTTCATTTGTAATTAAAAAATTTTCAAATCCGATTCTTTCAAAAACAAAATCTATGACGAAGAAATTTTATTTCTTTTTTTTTTTTATTTTTTCATAAGAAATTATTCTATATTAGTTACATGTTATCAAGCTGAACCCGATAGAATAAGGTGAATATATATATATTTTTTTTAATTATATAAAATATTTAAATATATCAACTGTTCTATCTTTTTATTTGATACTATATAAAATAAATTATAATAAATAAATGATAATAAATCAATGATAATTAATAAAATCAGAACAATGTATAATAATTATTATAATGTAATGTAATGATATTTATAACAATTGTGATAATAATTATATAAAAAAATTAATTATAATATTTGTAATAATTTTCAGAAAATTTAAAAAAATTAAATATTAAAGCAATAATAATTTTCAAAATTGCAATGAGTGAATACTG